GACTAAATTGAAAAATTTACTACATACATATTAAAAGTTTAGTAATATAGATACATATATATTTACACACACACACACACACATACACACACATATACAGGCTGAGTATCCCTTTTCTTAAATGCTTTGGATCAGAATTGTTTTCTGATTTTGCAATAATTGCAGACTCATAGTGAGACGTTGGGGATGGGATTTAAGTATAAACACAGAGTTCATTTCTGTTTCATATACATCTTACACACATAGTTTGAAGGTAATTTTATGTAATATTTTTAGTGCCCTGCTTTGACTGTAATCTGTCACATATTGTCCTGTATTTCCTAGGATGGTCTTTAGTTAGTTCTGTTTTCAGAGGGTAAATCTCAATTGATATTTCAGGAAACAGGACCACTGTGCTCATATTCACTTGCTGATAAGTTGATGACAGCTTTTGGAGGTCACCATGATTTATTTGTGCATTCAGAAATGATTAGGAATCTGATCTCATAGAGATGTTTGGGCAAATCTGTATATTTTTTAGAAAAAAATAAATGGAAAAATTATCAGTTAATTTCAAAAACATGTTTTTCTATCATAGTTCTGTTTCTGGTTACACATAGAATTGAAATTTCAATTATTTATCATCTAACTATTCAACGAACAATTACTATATGCTGGAATATGCCAGGAAGTAATACATGGTTTCTGCCTTGACTATTTTAATTAAAGTGGAAAAATAAATAAATATCTCAACTAACTAAATAAATAGTCATATACATAATTATTTCCAGCACCGTGGCAAATGTTCAAGTAGATGTAGGTGCAAAAAGTAAAATAAGTAGAGTGTAGCTCTGCTTGAGAGAGGTGTTGGGTAAGCTTCAGCTTTCCAGGTGAAAGTTGTACTGTAAAATCTCAGCAGAACTGATCTGAATCTTAAAATTACCCCCTCAAGAGATTCAGCTGCCAGGTGAATAGTCCATGGGAGATCAATAAATAATAATAAGTTACATTAAATTACGTCCAGTCATTTACTTCTTAGTAAAAATCAGTTTTCCTTTAGAAAGCCAAGTTGCCTCTGTGGAAGAGATGGGGGTGGGGTTGGGGGGTGAAGAAGCCTGGGGAGGTCCCTGGAGATAAACGCATGAGTGATAGCTCCATTTCATGGGCTCTGCTGCAAAAGGAGCATGGAGTATATTGGAACTGGAAGAGACTGAGAACAATTCTTATTTTTTAAAAATCATGAAATATTTCAAGCAGACATAAACTCACAGAGTATAATAACCAAAACCCATGTACCTGTTGACCAACATCAACAGCTTGATATTTTGTTGTACTTATTTTAAATAGTTTAAAGAAAAATATAACAATAGCTGCTTTGCCTATATCTCGCCACTATCTCTCACCTTCTGGCTGTGCTGTTCTCTCCCTTCCTCCCCCACTACGACCATTCTGAATTTTCTAATGTTCAAGGGTTGTAGGAACAGATGCATTTGGGTTTAAAACTCAGATTCCTATTTCCAAACGAGGCTTCTCATCAGCTCAGATTAGAGCAGAGGGCAATGCTGGACGGAGCAGGTGATACCAACCAAAGGCTAACAGAGGACAAGCCAAATATGGTTGTGTCCTGATGTATGCTAAGATTGTAAAGCATATTTTAGGAAGCACTATATAATTGGATGTGTGGGTTTGCCCTAAAATTTGCTTTCAAGTCAGTTCCACTAGGAATAGAGATCTCATAATTATGTGTCTCTAAAGATTAACTTAAATGTTGCCCATATTTTCAGTCCTCCCATCTTATTTTTAATGTTTTGTGTCTGCAAGTATAGTACTATATGTAGTTGTTGTAATGTATAATTTGTGGAATTATAAAGTACGTGAATAACTTTTCAAAGGAAGTCATAAACTCCTCACAGGACTCTATAATGGTTCTAATGCATCATGGTTTGGATCATAGAGGATGAATAATATGCCATAATGATTTGAAACCATAAGAGCAAGTTTGTGTATCTATAAGTCTGTCTTTATATTTATGTATGTGTAGATATTTTTTCCATGTGTGTATATAGTGTATATACATATGTATATATGCATGTGTGTATGAGTGTAGTGTACATAAGTATGTATATAGCTTGTGTAAATTGAAAACTGTCCAAATTCTTTTTCTTTAATAGACAGACACCAAACCAGTGCAAATGATGAATATGGAGGCCACATTCTGTATGGGGAACATCGATGATATCAACTGTAAGATCATAGAGCTTCCTTTTCAAAACAAGCACCTCAGCATGCTTATCTTACTCCCCAAGGATGTGGAGGATGAGTCCACAGGCCTGGAGAAGGTAAGAAAGAAAGCAGGTGCCCAACACACAGGAGCCCTGCCATGTCAAAGAGGTGTGTGGACAGTGCTGTGTGGGCTGTGAGACGGGGTGCAGCCCAGCCTCACTTGGCACTGGCTCAGCATCTCCAAGGTGCTTGGGGTCCTATCTGGGCTTTTTGGTTTCAATATGAAAACAGCCCACACTTACGTGGCACTTATGATAGTGCTAAATTCCGGACACGCACTGTCTCATTTAATTCCTAACAGTGTTCTTATGAATTAGCAGCTATTACCATGCTCTTATTTATCAACAAAGGAACTGAGGTATAGAGGGGTAGGCAAGTAGTCCTTGGTCACCTTGCTAGTTAGTGATATGTAGACTCAGGGTTTGAGCTTGGAAAGTTGGAGCCATGTTCCTAACTTTAGGGTGTAATGCTTCCCTCGTCTGTCTCCGCAGTAGGAAGGCCACACAGTGCTATGCACCACCCAGATTACTATCCTGAGAAGAGAAGTTCTTAAAGAAGAAAACATTAGTAGATTTTTTTTTTTTGGCAGCACAGGAGATTGAACCCATGGCCTATGTACTCAGGTACACCTTCAGCCATTTTAGATTTTTAAATTTGAGACAGGGTCGCACTAAATTGCTGAACAGACCAGGCTGGCTAAAACTTGTTATTCTCCTGCCTCAGCCTCCTAGAGTACTGGGATTACAGGCGTGCACCACTGCACCAGAGTAGTTGACTGTTTTTTAGAGCAGTTTTAGGTTCACACAGAAGTAAGTGGAAAGTACAGAGAGTCTGTGTTCTGTCTCTCCCCTTTCCAATTTTACAGTTTCTCCTGTTCCTAGCATTTTATGTTAGTGTAGTACATATGTTATAATCAATAAGCCATTTTTGATATAGCACCAATATATATATTATAAACAAAATCCATTTACTGGAAGGTTTATTCTGTGTTATACATATATGGGTTTTAAAAAGTTTAATTCACACACACAAGATTTTATTATGCTTCATATATTTTGTATTATACAGGTCATTGTTATTACATAATGCTGTCATTACATATTATATTCTTATTAATACAATACATTATAAAACATATTTTCATATACTGTGTGTATACTGTTTTATACTGTGACATATTTATACAGATTATTATAGGCACTAGATTAGGTGAAAGAATTAAGTGAAGATTAAGTGATTAGGCACAAGATTAGTGATTTTATCTGTTTGTAAACGAATGTTAGCTTTGCCCTGCTCCACCCCCTCTGGTACCTGGCCTCCCTCAGGCCTCCACTCGTAGCTTTCCTTGACCTTCCCTCTACCTGGACTGCAGTCTGTGGCCGGGAAAGGGGAAGGGGCTCTCGAAAAGCCAGGGATCGTGAGCTGCATTTCCAGTAGGGCCTCAGTTATTCCCTGACTCTCCAGGGGATGGACAAATTCAGTCCCCATCTTACCTGTTACTTTAGTTATCATTCTGCTGTAGCCATCACTTTATTAGCTGAGTAATAATTTTGTTCTTGTCTTCTCTGATGTAGTATTCTCTCTCATTTTTACTCCATTTCAGGTCATAATCTTTCAGCTATTATTCAGTTGTGTTGGATTTTACCTTACTTAAAATATCCTCATGCAAGTGTCAATTATTTTGTTCTGAAAGTATAGAACTAGTAAAATGATCCTTTTAGTAGTGGAAAGAAATATTTAAGCATACATACTGTAGCAGTTTGTTATGGCTGTCATTTGCAGGTGCCACAAGTGGATGGCTTACCCAACATATTTATTTTCCAAAACCCAAGATCAAGCAGTACTGGCCCTTCAAGGGCTACAGGGGAATCTGCTGCAGGCCTCTTAGCTTCTGGTGGTCTGCTGACAATCTTTTTTATTTTTTGTACTGGGGTTTGAATCCAGGCCCTCGCATATGCTAGGAAAGTGCTGTACCACTGAACTACATCCCCGGCCCTTTTAAGAATAGTTTTGTTTTTGTGGGGCCTGGGATGTAGCTCAGTGGTTCCACCGCCTGCCTTACAAGCACAAGGACTTGAGTCCAATCCCTGGTACAAAAAAGAGAAAAAAAAATTGGAAAAAAAAAGAATAATTTTGTTTTTGAGACAGAGTCTCACTAAGTTGTACAGGCTGACTTGGAACTTTCAGTTCTCCTGTCCCAGACTCCCGAGTGGCTAGCATTAGAGGTGTGTGCCATTGTGCCCAGCTTACTCGCCATCTTTGATGTATCTTGGCTTGTGGATACTTCACTCTGATTTCTGCCTTCATCTTCACTTGGCTTTGTCCTTGTGCTTGCTCCTGTCTCTGTGTCCAAATGCCTCCTTTTAGTAAAGACACTAGTTTTATCAGGTTAGGGCCCACACTACAGACCTTGTCTTAATTAATTTTACCTGTGTTGATTTATATCCAAGCAATGTCACATTTTGAGTTTCTTTGATTAGAACTTCAACATATGAATTAGGGGACATAGTTCATCCCTTAGCACATACACAATGGAGGCAAAATTTTGTTTCCCCTCCAATGCATTCTTTTTGAGTTATGGATGAATTTTCTCTCTCTTTCTACTCCCAGGTGGTAAATCGACTAGAAAATATATATGTTGGCCCTCTGAAACTCTGGTTCTTATGAAAATCTTTTGGTCCTAATAATCTATCTTAAATAAGAAAATATTTATTGAAAAATAACTACAATAGATTAGCAAGAGAATATAATAATTGCTTCCCCATCAGTTTGTAACCGTGCAATTTTCTTCAGTTTTACTGGCTTCAGATAAGTGTTGTTTTTCTGTGTTAATGTCAGTCCTGGTATTATCATTCTTGGGTGCACTTGCTTTTCCTCTAACCAGTGGGAAAATTAGAGAGCAAGAAGAAATTTAAAATTTGCTCTATAAAGAATTTTATGACTAAGTCATTTATGCTTTGTTGCATGTCTCATTTTTAAAAGCCAATAGAAATTGAATGAATTTATCATCTATGAGCTTACAGAATGACTTAGAGATAGTCCAAGCTCTCATTTTTTAAAATGAAGAGTAGCTTTACCTATATGAGTTACTAAATTTTGGAATGCCCAGAATATGGGGACTCTGGATTTCCTTTTAGAGAAATTATAGGCATTCAGGAAATATGTATAAAAACCTTTCTAATTTTATCTTTATTTCCTTATTTCATGCACAGTATCATAAGCCATACATCTGTTCTGTAAACCTACTCTATCACTCAAAACAAATGAATGAAAAAATGCCCTCATACCTTTCAGTGCAAACAAAGCAGTGAGCACTGATGTAGGGTGAGGAGGAGAGTGAAGCTGGGTGGCTGGAGGATCTTCGAGGAGAAAGTAGTCACATGCCAAAGGTGCTGGACCTTCCTTGATGTTCCATTCAGACTGCTTTCAAACTGCGTTCCTAATAACAAATACTTTGTTTTTAGTCAAGAAAAATCTTTTACAACTGGAAATAAATAAGACTGATCTCTGTTCTCTTTTTGTCCTTCAGATCGAAAAACAGCTCAACTCAGAGACACTGTTGCGGTGGACCAATCCCAGCACCATGGCCAATGCCAAAGTCAAACTCTCTCTTCCAAAGTTTAAGGTGGAAAAGATGGTTGATCCTAGGGCTAGCCTGGAAAACTTAGGGCTGAAAAATTTATTTAATGAAAGTACATCTGATTTCTCTGGAATGTCAGAGACCAAGGGAGTGGCTCTGTCAAATGTGGTTCACAAAGTGTGCTTAGAAATAACCGAAGATGGTGGAGACTCCATAGAGGTGCCAGGATCCCGGATCTTGCAACACAAGGATGAATTCAGTGCTGACCACCCCTTTATTTATCTCATCAGGCACAACAAAACGCGAAACATCATTTTCTTTGGCAAGTTCTGTTCTCCTTAAGTGGTACAACCCAAGTTAAGTCCCACCTGATTTATCTGTGGATGCAGGTTTCTGTAAACTCTGCATCCAGAGAATCCCTTTCTAAATGCAATAAATTGTTAACATTGCTGAATCAGGAAGCAGCCAGAATTTGTCACATGTAGCCTTCACACTAACAGGCCATCCTTTTCTCATTCTTTTGTTACATTTTTTACCTCCATAAAAGAAAATGACACATACTTTTAATGAAAAGGGAGCACGTTAGAGGAAAAAATATTCTCTCCTTGTCAAACTGTTCAGAGCTCCCACATGAAGTAATCCTATTAGGTAGATCTGGAGGATCTTGTTCCTAGAACTTTGCCTTTCTCTGCCAAGATGTAGAATGTTCTAGAAATTCTGAAACTCTAAAGAAACTCTAGTCCACAGAACCCACAAAAACTGCCCTAATCCAGTGAAAATGTGCACATATTCACTCTACTGTACAAATGCTTATGTTAAAACATGGGAGACAAGTTTTCTTTTTTTCTCAAACTTTGAATTTTGGGGATTTTAGGGAGGTAGTACATTGCATGTATGTGCTTTTGGTAGGCTATGGAAATCCATCAATAGGGTCTGCACTGGCATTGCCTCAGTAGTTCTGTAACGAATATTCACACAAAATGGACAAATAAAGACTGTACTCTGTAATGGTCAAATTCTGCTGACAAACAAGTATGCTACCAGATTATGAAAACACTAGAAATATTCTAGATTTTGACATGTTGGTTAAAGACCTGTAGTAGATGAAGTATAAGACCCTAAGGGGACACACAACTTTTATTTAAAAATTCATTTTCATTTCTAATATGTCTCACCTGGTCATTTGGTGCTGGCCTGGTGTCAGGGCTTCTGACTCACAAGGTTTGTCTGATAAAGGGCCATAAAATCCACAAGGGCTTTCTCTCCCAGTGGCCAATAAAAAAAAAAAAAAAAAAAGACAAAAACTTTTGGTGTTAAAGGAAGTTGGCTCTTCTTCTAATGTGATGGGGGAAAACAAGGAAACTAACACCTTTAGAAAATATAAGTAAAACTTTTTAAGTATTCACGATGCCTTGACACATTTTTTTTTCAGTTGGGGATATATTTACCTTAGATGGTGATTGAGATAGACTAAAAAGGAAAAGAATAATTCTTATCCCTTTCTCCTTTCCTGGCCATTTGCTCTTTCTCCCCTGTTTTCCTAGGGGAGAAAGGACCAGGACTGGGAGAATGACTCCCAATTACTTAAGAGTTACATGAATCCAAGACCTTGCAGGAGGACAGGGGCCTCCTCTGCAGCCCTTTTAACTTTGGCCCCTCCTTCAAAATGTAATTTGTTAAGTAAATTATAAATGTTTACGGTATTTCCTTCCTTATTAAGTGAATTTTTCTCAATGCCATGTTATTTGTTTTCAGTTATTTATGTTGTCTCTTAAAATCAGTAGCCCTTTTCTGTCCCAGCAGTGTGTGCAAGTGAATATGACTATTCTTGCGATAGATGTAAAGTCCAAAAACTGTCAAACACTCCTAATTCTAAAAAGGCAAGACCACTCTACAGGATGGTCAGTTTTTGCCATGCTTGGCTTATTTAACCCCTTTCTCTAGTCTATAAAATAGAAAACGTGGAATGTTTATGAAAAAGGTTAGTGAGTATTTGCAGGAGGGAGAGATTTAGTGCCTCTTTCAACCAAGGGGGCAGGGAGTTTAAAGTATTTCCGGAAATTAGCATAAACGGGTGGTTGCCAGCCTGGGACAATGCTGCCCTCTAGGGGATATTTTTATTGCCACTCTTAGGAGGATGTCTCAGGTGTAGAAGCCAGGAACGGTCTAGACATTTGCAGTGTCCAAAACAGGCCCCCACTACAGAGTCTTCTGGCTCACAATGGTGATTGTGTGGAAGGAGAGAAAGATGGGGTTCTCATTGAAGGAAAGACAGGCTGGATGGTCCTTGAGGCAGAACAAAAGGAAATGGCTGGAGATGGAGTGGAGGAAGAGGGATGTTTGTCTGCTGTCAGCTAAAGTGAGATGTGGAAGTAGCTAAGCTTGTTTACTTTGAAAGAAGCTCTGGTATGAGGATCTGCTCAACAAGGGCTAGGGCTTTCCAGAGGACCCATAAGAGCACCACAAGGAGAGCTGACATTTGACACCAGTCACACCCAACAGCAGGTTACAGCAGCACAGTCTGATAAGGCTCTCTGCTCCTTCCTCTCCTTCCTGCCCTCTGCGTACAGCTGCATGTGAAAGTGGGGAGCGAGAAGGGTTAAGCAAGTAAATGGTAGCAAACCCACCTCCGCTTCCTTCCCCTGTGGGCCAGTGAGTCTGAGACACACCTTGTGTGGTGGATGGAGAAGCCTTGGATTTCTGGGCTTGTTTGTTTCTGAAAATGTCTATTAATGTAGAAAAGTGGCTGAAGAAGGTTGAGTCTGGGGAATTTCATTGAGGGGCTAATGAAGATGGGAAAAGTGGGATTTAAGAGGTATTGGAAAGAAAGAATTCAGGTACATTTTGTTAGTGCCCTGTCCAGTCCAGTCACAGGTATATTGTCTCATTTAATCCTCACAACAAACATGAAGAAACCATGGTCCAATCTTATTAGTGAGGACCCTGGACATGGAATAAACATAAAACCAAGGCAAGGTCACAGAAATTTGAACCCATGTAGACTGAGCCCAGAGGTGGAACAAGCTTCTGTCCTCCATCTTTCAACTGCCACCAACTGGCACCAAAGTTGGCAGCTGAGGGTGCCTTGAAGAGTTCCTCTGTTCCTTGGATCTTCTATTAGAGATTCCCAGATATTCACCTTATCAGGGCAGTCCTTTTCCCATCCACTGGAACATCCCCAGGGTCAAAGTCAGTCCACCAGTAATGGATTGATTCACTTCATTTGTTTATTTGTAGAGTCAGGGGCTAACTCTTCTGAAGGGAAGGGCAGGATCTCAGATCAAAATTGTACCCAGGCCACAGAAACTGGCATCCACAGGACTTGATAGCAGTACCTTGGATGTGCACCCATACTGTCTTGGGATGAACAAGAGTGTAGCTCAGTAACTTCTGTTCTTCTCTGCTCTGGTCTCTAAGGGACAGTCAAATGCTCAAGCTCCATCCTTGCACACCATATGAAAGTGGCAAGTTGTGCATGAGCACTTTTGTGAAATACTTGAAATTGGGAAGGTGAAGCTGCTGAGAAAAGATGAAGTAACCTTTAGAGCCTCCTGCATTTATCTACATTCACCTGTTTTGGCAGAGTCACCTGGGAGGGTAATTCAGGACAGTCCTGCACTCTGAATGCAGGTCCTGCTGAGAGGTATTATTCTTCAATTTAAGTAATCCGCCAGCTCAGAGCAGAACCCCCTACCTGACAAGAGGGAGGGCTTGGAAACATGACGGCCAGTGTTTCTGAAGCACAGTTATAGGAATCTGAATTCTAGACTTCTGATTTCGAGTTTTCTAAATCTCAAATAATTGTGAAATTTAGATGAAGTGGTATTTCAAATCTGCAGGGTTGTAAAACCAGAAGCATTGATTTCCTTTTTAAATAAACCAACTGGTTGCACTTAAGGAAAAAATAGAAAACAAAAATTCCAAAGAAATGCTTCTGGGGATAGTTGTGGAATCTGCTGCAAATGGGGTGGGAATGGATCAGCCATGGCTGACTCTTCTCCTGACCGTAGAGCCTGCAACCAGAGGTCAGGGCCTCAAAGTGGAAGCTCTGTTCTTCTCAATTTTAATGTTGTTACATTTACCTTAGCCATTTTATTTATTTATTTTTTTTGAGACAGGGTTTCACTATGTAGTGAGACTGACCTGGAACTCACTATGTAGCCCAGGCTGGTCTTGAACTCACAGTGATCCTCCTGCCTCAGCCTCCCGAATGCTGGGATTACAGGCATGCGGCATCACTTTCGGTTTTCCTTAGCAATTTTGAACGAACATTTGGCAAAAAAGACACCAGCAGTTTCTTCCTCACTCACTTTACCTATTGGGCTCATGCATTATTTCATTATAATTACCTTCAAGGGTTTTTGAGATGTTTCCAGCTAATTTTTCCTGTACCCAGTGCTTAAAATCTATTTTGACTGTCTAGGGTGGATGGGTGCATTTTAGTACTTTCAAATTGTTTTTTTCTCTGCCAGTTAGAGTTAGGCTGAACCTCCTTTCTCATGGCTATGGGGACCCCATGTGACAGTCCCCAACCCTTTTGGCTGTTTCCATCCAGGAAATTGGATATTACTTTGTTGTAACTGCATATAAAATAAAAGTTAATTGGCCAGGAAAGTATGAAATAGGCTTTCTCATGGCTTAAAGTTCTTCAGGTTTAACAAGATGATTTTTTATTTGATATCATCTTTGGCAGCTCAGAAACCTTTATAAATTTTTCTGGATTCTCAGCTGAATTATGGGAAGATGGATAGGTTAACTATTAGTCTAGTGTGGTGCCACATGCCTGTAATCCCAGCACTCAAGGAAGCTGAGGCAGGAAGATTGCAAATTCAGTCCCAGCCTGGACAACTTAGTGACTTAGCAGTAACCTGCCTCAAAAAAAAAAAAAAAAAAAAAAAAAAAGTTCTGGGGATGTTGCTCTGTGATCCCTCAGCCCCAAAATCCCCTCTTAGTAACCTCAAAACTGTATTTAAATAATTTTTATAAGATCTGAGTTCTTTTTTTAAGGAGAGTTTTTAATTAATGGACAAGTTAGTACAACTCGAATTGCCTTTCTCCATTCAAAATTTGATGTCAAGGGAAATGAGGATTTAAAAAAGGGACGATATTTTGTTTCCCTGCCTGCCCCTAGTCACTCTCCTTGTCTGCTCCTAATCACTCTCCTGACCGCCCTCCTCCAAGAGGAGCCAGTATCCTAAATTCTAATAAATCCTAACTCTCTCTCTCATGTTTTTGTACTTCATGTTGGTGGAACTATATAGGCTGCTCTCTTTTCTACTTGGCTGTGCAAAATATCACATGCAAGTATTTCTAAATTATCATTCCCATTGCTGCACTGTTTCGTAAATTGAGTTTATAACAATTTATTTATCCATTATTCTTGATGGACATTGGATAATTTCAGCTTTTGGTTATTATAATTATTTCTACTTTATGAATATTCTAGTGTTCATAATATAGTATTTTGGTGAAACATGTATGTATTCCTAGTGGATCTATAAATATATACATGCAAACATATATATATATATGTATATTTTTATTCATATATATGTATATATTTTTTTCTCTCTTGGGAATGGAGCTGTTGAGCCATAGTTTATGCTGATAGCTTTGCTAGAAAAAGTCCAACAGTATTCCTAAGTGGTTTTTACCAATACCTCTCTATCTTTTATTATTCTGATTAAATAATGATTATTAATAATGAATACTTTTTCTTATTGTTTTTAAAATTTTTAAAAATTGAGTTTATTGGTACATTTTAGGTATACAGTACAGTTTTATTTTACATTCATTATTGGGATCTTGTACCTTTACATGACAGGTCTTGGTTCTCATTTTTTCCCCTTGTCCCTGCCCTCCCTTCACCTCCTCCTCCCCTCCCCATTTTCAAAGACTTTATTTCCATTTTTTCATTTTCTCCTATTGTTTCTTTTCCCTTATTACCTTTCTCCTACCCTTTCCACTTTCCCTACAGCTTTAGTGCTTTTCTTCCTATTACTTTTTCTTATTGTGATTGTAACCATCACCACTCATTCCTGGAATATTGTGAGCTGGGGGTTTTGCTAAGCATGACATATATTATAATTCAG